CTCAATGTAATGTTTTTCTGTGATCGTATATAGATAATTGTTTCTGGCAAATAAAAGACAAGGTCAAATGAAAGGCTATCGTTTAAATAGCAGTGCAAAATATTAATATATATGTAAGCCCTTTAAAATTATTAATATTACACAGTAAAGTCATGTATCTCCTTGCTCAAATAAATAGAGATGACGTGCTCATTTTCATTGCATACCTATGACAATAGAGGAAATTCCACATTTGTATGGAGGAAACCAGTCTATCGTGAAACCACATTTGATTTGTCATGAAGAGGTACTGAATGTACATGTGCCAGAATGATGATAGGCTGAGTTGCTCCCTAACTTGGGTTTTAACTTGGAACCTTCTACCAAAGCAGATGAGTATACAGCACTGTGCCACATTCTCATTTAAGCAACGCAGGTAGACACTTTCACTTTGGCAGCAGAATATTGTTGTAAGCAAATGAATACGTTCATGCAGCCTTCATTGCAGTGTTCCTTGCCATACAATAAAAAATGTTTTGATTACAAACTCGAGTAATGCAGCATTGGGATCATTTAAATATACATGGAACAGCTTCTTTCTTTAATTTTAAGTGGTGCATATCATACCCTGGATGTGGCATTTCGGAACGTACTTGATAACTTGATAGATGTACTAGTAACAGTGCCATGTGGGGAGACATTGACAATGTCCAAAACGCATGTGTGTTCGTGTTCGTGAAATACCAATTTTCAGGCTTCTCCAAAAAACGATGTATGTAATCACTTCACGAGATGCATTGCGCATCTGTTCTTATCTTCAAAATGCATGCAGTGGCCCCTTCTGCAAATGCATCATAATGAAACAAAATTTTTGTATTAAGAAACGACGCCTCCCCAGACCACCACCATCATCCACCCGACCGTCCTCCACTATACCCGAAGGCGAGTCGCGACACATCACATACTCGGCCCCTGAATCCACCTCACTCATCGCGTTCAGTCGGTTTTCATTCCCGTTGTGTGTCAGTGCATGAGGGTTCGGATTTTGCTCGGGCTGACTGGCCGCTCCGACCAGGTCAGTGGTCGCACTTTGCCCATAGAGTAGTTGCCGCGACCGCAGGTACATCCACTGTTATCGGAATGATAGAGTGGGTTGAAATCAGAATGCTCGTCGATACTGGTGCGTCCGCGACTAGAATTTCTAAGCTGTTTTTTTTACATTTTGCCCCCTAAATGTTGTACCCTATGTCCCGTCAGGGTTCCGTGCTTTGCCACAAATGGCGCATCTTTGGGCATCATTGGGAAAATAACAGCGGTGTGTTTTTTGGAGATATCAAATTGACGGGACCAGTTCTTGAATCAACGTTCCTTGCTGTTACTTGCTTGCTCTGGACTGACTTCTTGGTGAGGATGTCCCTGAAAATTTTGATCGATCAAGGTTGCCTTGATTTACCATCGGGCCGTCGAATGGCGTACGGCTAACACTACTGTACAAGCGCTTGCGAGTAAGACCGTAAAGATTCCCCCCGGCACGCAAATGTTGGTTCCTTAACAATTCTGCAAGCCACTAGACCAGGAGGCGACTGTGGGAGGATTTCTCCTAGGACCCTAAAACAAAGCCATTCTTGGGTTGACGTTGGAGGGGGCCCAGAATCTGTTATCCAATGACCAGGAACCATTTATTCAAGTCCTGAATGCAGGGTTAGACACTTCTGTCATTCAGGAGGGCACCGTGCTAGCCCACGTGTCGCCCGCGCTTCACGAGGGAAACATAGTTTGTGGGGTCGTGTCGAATACGAAGCTGCAACAGGTTTCTGATTAAAAGTAGATGGATACACTTTGTTCAGAAAATTCCGAATTGTCCGAGTCCCAGCGGGCGCTTTCCATGAATTCTCTGATGTGTTTAGCAAGGGAAAATTTTTACATCGGCCGCACTATGCTTCTGAGTCACCACATCGATATGGGCGACACCACTTCCATCCGGCAGAACCCCTACTGGCTGAGCACAACGGAAAAAGAACACCTACGGCTGGTGGTTGATAAAATGTTGGCTGCCGATATTATCTCGCCATCCACCAGCTCGTGGAGAGCCCCGTTTGTTCATGTTATAAAGCAGGATGGTAGTTTGTGCTTCTGTGTTGACTTCCGTAAGCTTCATAAGATCTCAGTGGTTGATGTGTACCCTCTTCCTCGGATGGACGATTCCCTGGATGCTCTAGAAAGAGCACATTATTTTTCGACTCTTGACCTCCTATCCAGATTTTGGCAGTTGCCCTTAGATGTATCCTTAAACCCCAAGACAGCCTTTCGTACACCACAAGGCTTGTTTGAATTTAATCGGCTTCTTATGGGTCTTCATTTTTGCCCAAGCTACGTTCCAGCAATTGATGGAACTAGTTCTAGCGGGCCTCCAGTGGGACTCGTGCATGATATATCTGGACGATGTTATCGTTTTTAGCCATATGTTTAAATAACATCTGGAACAGTTATGTGCTGTCCTTCTTAAGATGCATGCGGCAAATCTCAAATTTAAACTGCAGAAGTGTCACCTGCTCCAAGAATTGGTTCGGTATCTTGGCCACATAGTCAGTAAATCAGGGATAGCGACGGACCTGGACAAAACTGCGTGTGTTCGTACTTGGCCGACCCCCACGTCGGTGGGGGAGGTGCGGGGTTTAATTGGATTTGCGTTATATTACCGCCGTTTTGTTGCCGGGTTCGCCACTATCGTCAAACCTCTCCACGCCCTGATGGCAAAGGGTCAGAAGTTCCATTGGGGTGAGGAGGCGGAGGCTGCATTTGTTGCACTCTGGGATGGCTTGGTAAACGCCCCTCCCCTCCGCTACCCCGACTTTTCCTTGCCGTTCGTCCTTGATACGGACGCTAGCAACACCAGAATTGTTGTTGTTCTGTCTCAAGTCGTAAATGGCGTCGATAGTGTTGTAGGATATGGCAGCAGAGTGCTGTCTCCGGCAGAACATGCCAGAAACTTTTGGCTGTTTTTTTTGTGCAACAGTATCTTTATGGCAGACGCTTTAAGGTGCGCTCTGACCATGGAGCACTATAGTATGCGCTGCGTATTGAGCAGCCGTCTGGCCAACTTTCACGTTGGTTGGAGGTCCTCCAGGACTATTCCTTTACTGTTTCCTATCATAAAGGTACCCGACACATGAACATGGATGCCCTGTCGTGATTACAACGAGCGATGGGTGTGGGTGTTTCTCGGGTTTGGGGCGCTGTAAGACACCTGCCGAGGACTCGCCCCCTCCCCTTGCGGCATCGGCCGAGGTTAACACCTCGGAGAAAGCCGATGGTTCTGTGGCGCATGACGCCGTTATTGGCTTGGACCATGCGGAGTGGGGGCACCTCCAGGTTGAGGACGCTTCCCTGTTTAAGTTATGACGCCATGTCAAGGAGGCGGACGGGGGTGGGGATCGACGGGGTGTAGCTTCTGTCATCCTCAGAGGCGGATTGATCATGCATTGGGATGGAGGGTTCCGTCGTTACAATATTGTCGTGCCCACTGCCCTACGGGGTAAAGTCATCTGGGCTGTGCACGAGCGACTGTTGCACCTGGGTTTGCATAAGATGCTTGCCACACTTAAGCTCGACTTCTTCTGGCCCGGCATGGCAGAAGATGTCGCTAATGTATTGAAGGGGTGTGTGCAGTGCACGCGGCGGAAACCTCCGTCTAAACCCTGTTTTCCACTGTTGCAATCCATTCATGTCTTCCACATAAATGAGCTGGTCGCTCTTGATATCCTTGGTCCATTTCCTACCACCCCTCGCAGCAATAAGTATTTACTGGTGGGCATCGAATATTTTTTGCAGAGGCCGATGGCCTGGCCGCTCCCCAACCAGTCGGCTGCGGCCATCACTGAGGCATTCCTCGATGGCTATGTGGAGGTGTGTGACTTGTTGGGAACAAAGAAAGTACGTACGTCGCCATACCACCCCCAGACGGATGGAATGGTGGAGCGGTTGCACAGGACTCTGACCTCCATGTTGAGCCATCAGGTCATCGAGTCGCAGCTTGACTGTTCCCGGGGTCCTGGCTGCCTATAGAATGGCCCCTCACATGTCCACCGGCTACTCACAATGTTTTCAATGTACGGAAGAGAACACAACCTCCCGATTGATGTCCAATTACAAGCCGAGCCAAACAAGGATAAATCTACCATTCAGAGGCTTTCGGAAGCACACGAGGCTTGCAGAAAAAAATCCCATTCGCGCCAATTGGCAAATGAGCGGCTGAGGGGTGTCCGTCCTTCGGGACATGAGTGGGCTCCAGGTGACAGAGCCTGGCTGCACTGTCCCCAGTTACCAGGGGTACATCACCCAAATTGTTTAAACCCTGGAGGGGGCCGGTTGATGTGATTTGGGTCATTCGGCCCCAGTGTGTTCAAATTCGCTTGGATCGACGGAGTTGGTTTGTACATAGTTTCATAGTTTCATTTCATTTATTTGGTATAGCCCTGTAAGCCATTCGGCTCTTGAATTAGGTGCAACCGCAACAAACAAAAAAACAAAAACATGAACAAGAAAACATCTTAAAGTGACTTTGTGCATGTGCAAACAGAAAATCCAGGAAAACACATCGAAATATTCTTGAAATAGCACCGAACACCAACGCTGTGTGCAAAAATCCCAGTGGGATGCAAGTCAAACAACAACAACAACAAAAAAACTTAGATTAAGGCCATCAGTCTAACTCAGTACTACAATAACAAAAACATGGCCAAACCAAAAAAACTTTTAGAAATCACCAAAATAAAGCCATAAATGCAATGTAATAGTGATCATAGGAACTGTGACCGAATTTTGTACAATAAACTACATAAATAACATGGAACACCAAACCCTAGAGCCACAGCTGGCTGCATGAGTCAAGCCTTTCATTGCGCCACGTTAATTCATCCCATCGCCACTAGGCAGGGGCCGAGTGTCGGATATTTCCGGCGAGCTGAGGTATGTACCCGCTGAGGTTGGTCCTCAGGGGAGTCATGTGATCCTGTCCTCAGGTGCCACACGTTTAACGTCCCCCAAGCAGCCACCTGAACCATCTCCACAAGCTTCGGGAGAGGAAGGCCCATCTGCCCGGTGGACTGCTCTTCGTGAGGAGCCGGGTTCGATGGGACAATTTCAAATTCCCCTCGGAACCCTCAGGGTGAGTACGCCCACCTCACTTGGGGGCCCAGCCACAAGGACTCGATCACAGACTCTTTGGTTTTCGTGATCCCCATACACACACGCTCCCACACCGTCAGTTGGTTGTCGCACTCGGCATGTCGAATTGGTCATTGGCTGAACCTGGCCTTTATTGTGCATGCGGGTGTTGTTACACGGTGAGGGTCGGAGATGCTGGTGCTGGAGGGGGTCCCGAGGTTTTGTGTGCTACTGCGTTTGTTCTCTATCTCTCTTCCGTTCTCTCTCTTCCTTTGTTTTTGCCTATTGTTGTTCTGTAGTTCTGCCCCCTTCCCCCGTTGTTCTGTATATATTGTACATATTGTAAAATGGGTCGGGTATTTATTTGTTGTGGCACACAAAAGGGTTTTTTGTTATTTTATTGAGGGGGAGTTGACAGCCGGGACGGCTCAGTGCTACTAAGGGGGGAGAGGGGGTTTATGTAGTGACATTGAGGGATATCACTGTGCAGTGCCAGCCCTAGAGAGGCACGGCGTGCGGTGTAATGACATCGCAGATACACAATGGTGTGGGTGTAGTACCGGCCCTAGAGGGGCCTGATGAGCGCTGATTTATAGCGCTAGATGGCACCACACTTAGCGTGCAGTGGCAACACTACAGGACAGGGTGTGGGAGTGCCGGCCGTAGGATGAGGTTACTAAAGGCCATGGCACTCTGGTTGACCCGAGAGGACACGTGACCTGTTAAGTCTGCAAAGGGGCCCCAAGTGGGGGTTAGGGGGTCACGTGGTTGAGATCAAGATCCTTCGCGAGGATTCTGGAAGGTGGTCGTGGCCAAGGGCGGAGCCAGTCACGCCGTAGAGAATATAAGCCGGGTTCCAAAAGGGACCAGGGTTGTTGTTGTTCATCCTGAAAGAAACCTTCGTCTATGTTCTACGTTATCCATTCAATGAGTCTCCAACAGGTGGACCTCGATCAGAGCTGTTGGTCCCAGTCCGTAGGAGCAGTTCCGTTGTAACTCGTGTCACTAGCCTGGTGGTCACCACCATAGGTTGTTTTTTTTATGTTAAGGGGAAGTTACCCCGTGTGTTTAAGTTAAATAAATGTGTTGCATCCAAGTCTATGTCTGCGATTCAGTTGGACGTACTACAAGTGTAATAGGATGACACACATGGGGCATTTTACATTTGGATCTTTAGTCAGGTAAAAATATACAGTATATGATTGGGCAGAGAAAGAAAGCTCACCTTTGGGTGTGTCTGAATGCCAGATTATGCCTTAAGTTGATTGTTTTTTTATCGACTCGTAGTCAGAGGTTTTGCATTTATAAACTTAAAACTATTTATATATTTCCAGGTAAGGCCACTGAGCTATATTGGTCTTTTCAGAAGTGACCTGGCCAGAAATGATAGCTCAACAATATGGTTTATCATGTGGAAATGTTTCGCAGACAAATACTCCAAAAGCATGTTTCTAAATGTGGAGGGAGGATCCATGCGACTACGGGGAGAAGATGCAAACTCCAAATATACAGGCGTCAGGGTCAGGATCGCACCTATGACCTCCTGATACCAGGCAAGGGAGTTAACATGTTAATCGAAATGGTCTGGTGGCTTTTTGTCCAATCAAATTGACATTAAAGAAGCACACATTTCACAAGAACACCTACACACTGTGTCAGTTTTGCAATGGGGGGCCACAGGCTTCAACTGAAAACAAGAACCCAATTGTAAATAATAATGATGTTGGTGATGTTAAAGTTTATTATGATGGGATAATGGGACGCAATAGTAATAGTTCAGAAAGCGTGGGGAACAGGAATCGCTAGGCCAGGGCCAGCGAGGGTGATAGCTGTGGCTAAGCAGCAAGAGAAGTGTACTGCAGCGGTACTGGGTAAAGAGTGTGGCCTCTGGCAATACGAGTGAATTTACGGCAGTGTTAGTGCCAACGTGAGGCAGACACGGAGAGTTGTACGAACAAGAGTGTTTATTGTTAGCAGACATTAACACGATATATCTGTTGATTTTTTTTCGCACCATATATAGCCAACTGTGTTAATCTGAGTAGTTCGTGTATATAGAATATTACAATTCTGCTACAAGTTGTTACACATGCGATATTACACGAGTAATTTGAATGCTCGTGATTTGTCCGTCAATCTTTAAATATCGGTAGTCGTGCATTTGTATATACATCAGTGAATGAAAGTGGGAAATCCCAGATGAGTGTGTGCCTTGGATTTCTTGCTAATGGATTAATATTATCAGAGCCTGAGAGCTCTGGATTATCCACCCCTGAAATATGTATACAACAACTGTGTATCAAGAAAAGAATGTTTCTGCCGAGTGTGTGACGTAATAACATATAGCAGTAGGAGCATATTAACACATTAGACTTCAAAAAATATCACAAAGTAGCTCTCTGATGTGTGTTCGGGTTGTACCATGTTGTTGGAGGAGTAATTTGGTGCAGGCTTATTGAAGTTACTGAATAGTGTGCCCTGCGTTTGTGCGCGTGTGTGAGAGAGGAGAGGTATGAAGACGCTTCTAGCACGCGGAGCAAAATGACAGACTTAATACCCCAAAACCAATCGTTCCAACCAAAACACACAATGGAGATATATTCAGAAAAACCACGATAACCTATGCAGTAATAGCACCGCAGAATAATTCCTCAAACGCAGTTTGTTTGAGCGTGTACCGTAAGGTCACAGCCAAAGCATATCGCTGTTCAACACGAGTAGGAGCAGGACTCATAGTCGTCCGTGACGAACGGTCAGCGATTGACATTCCACATTGCTTTGTCACTGCCTAGCTTAACTCCATTTCCTCAGTTCTCTACTCATGTTTATAATTTGCAAGCTTCTATATATATCTGAACCATTGCCCGATGAGAGGGTAATCTAAACTTTCGATCACAAACGATTGCACGGATGGGTGAATTAATCAAACTAATGAATTAAAACCGTCGATAGCTTCTTTAACAACATCAAAAAAAAACACGCCACATGCAAATTCCTAGGGGGCTCGGTTTCAGTATTAAACTCGGATGGACAAGGAATATCCCTTGCTTGCAGTAGTGTGGGAATCCCGGGCAAGATTAAGTGTCAGTGTCAGGCAATCTAATGGCTCCCTTTTGTCAAGCCATTAGCGTAGACAGCACCCCCGAGGTCCACACTTGCTTCAGCATGACCCCTCGACTTATTGTTCCTCTCGTTCGAGAGAACACGCCTTAAAACCCCCGGCTTACAATGCAATGTATTCATAATAAACCTGGCGATGTACGATCAAGAACAGCGCACTGATCTGACAAACTCACACAGCCACCGCTGGTCAATCGGACAACTTAAACACCGCTCGTTTGGCCACAGTTAAAAACTTTGAATAAGCACTCTTAAAATATGTATTTTTATCGTGATCTTTTTTGTTAATATGAGAGGTGATCGAAAGGTCATCAGCCTGACATAGGGGGAGTGGTGCTACAATATAGGTTGAATGTTCAGTTAAACTTTATTATATTAAAACACGATTCTCATAGTTCAAAATTATAGAGTTAACATGTAATGCTTTACAGGTTTTTGAAATAGTCTCATTCATTCTCAGTGGGAAACGGATTAATCTTAAAAATACAAAGACACGTGGGGGTAAATATATTCTCTCAAGACGTGGCTTCCACGGGTTTTAATAGTTAAATTATTAATCACTTGTGGGAACAGTGATTTTCTCGGGACAATGAAGTGACGTGTGCTGTGAGTGACTGGTTTGAGGAGGAATGCCCTTGGTAAATTGACAGAGGTTCACTGCATTGGAACCATATACCAAAATATAATAGTTTTAGTATCACATTTCCAGGTCACAACTTCGCCTTTTCTATCACTTCTCATAAAATAGTTACACCATTACGTGCACAGCATACACTACTTTGGGATGTTCATTAAATATATAATGATTAACTTCTGCATATAGTTTCTTACCGTCACGATACGAATAACGAATTGTGCATAAGAAAATGAATTATCTTTGACCCATATCTTGCATCTAAGCGATTATTGATGAACGTGTAGCCGTTTTTTTCACTTCTGTAATTGCGTCGCAAACCATGCAACCACTAGGGGCACTACATTAACTTACAATGGCAAGAGAGGGCGGGGGGCAACAAATCAATTCTTGATTCGAACAGCGAAGCCAAATCGTGACAATTCATCAACTCGCAAGGGGAACAATACCATTACATGACTCGTGTTCAAACATTAGACTATTTCTAATTAACAGAGCATGGTGCCAGCAGGAAGGGCTGCCGAACACGTGCAGTCACAGTGTCCCCATGTGGCTGTTAGCCCCCCCCCCCCCCAATGACGTCTAAAGGCCAGTGAAACCAATTGGCCACTCTTTCATTTTCAACTCGGGCACACTTGAGAAAGCACAACCGTATTCATGGCTTCTGCTGGGATGCCCGTTATAGGTTCGTGCTGGGGTGCTCCGAACGCTGAGCGACCACCCTCGGTCGGGTGCAGGCAGTGTTGGCGTGCATAGACGACATAAACACATTCCCTATTAGTAATGGCAGACTCCACAAGTAATGACCCGTGGCTGTACCGCTTCACGGGGCTACGGAATGAGGTGCACAATTCCCCAGCAGCAATGCCCGGCCACTGCCCCCTCCCCCCTGGGTGGTGTTTACATACGGAGTAAAACTCCATTCTGCTTCGCCGCGCGGCCTCAAGATGCTGCTGTCGTACTCGTCCGGCGGCGTGCGTGGCCCGAATCGGGAAAGAAAACATGCAATCGAGCCCCCCCCCACACCCGGTTGTTCTTTGAAGACCACTTTCTTGGTGAAGCCTGAGCATGCAGGACCTTTTGCCTTCTGAACGGACAGCGGTGCTTGCGATTGGCTGAGTGACCCATTTGGTCAGCTGCGCCGCGTGGTGCACGCCATCGATTGCACTCAAATTACATCAGCCGCCCAGGGCCTGTGGGTATTGGAGCAATTTTCTGTTGTTGTTTCCCGATATATTTTATTAGTT